TGAGATAAAAGTCAATGGCCAAAGATTTACATAACCTGTGACATCGTGATTACATAAGGCTGTGACACAATTCCGTGTGTGTTGCATCACAGGTTCTAGTTAACTTCACTCACATCAGTATAAGAGTTAGGAGCAGGAGTCCTTCTGTGGCTCTTTGCCACAGATTCCTTTGCAGTTTGTTCAAACGTATGGGCTCCTTGTCAGAATAATGTTTTTAAATTCATAAAATAAAATACAAAGGTATAATTGTCTAATTATTTTAATTGGATATTAAGTGCTTTTAAAAATAACAAATTAGATACGATCTTGTAGGTCTACAGTAATTTTGAACTAGTGATCATATTAAACAATTTCAAGATAGCTGTAGCCACTGTATCAGGATATAAAAATGTGTTTTCTGTAGGTGACAAAGGCACAGATACTGCTAATGCTGCTATGGTTTGTTGCCTACATTCACAGTTGAAATTAATTCTAAACTTTACTTAGAGGCTAATTGAAAGATCTTTTAATATAATTTTTTACCCCAGCCAAGTTCACAGACTCCTTGAATTCCACCCACAATAGAGTATCAATCAGTGATCAAATATATAACTTAAAATGCCTATATATTTTGAGGAATTTCTTCTTTTTATAAAGGCTAAGTCATTGTAATCAAATCAGATTCAACAAAATTATGAGTTGTTGTGATTAGCAATAGGGTAATGGTGGCAACTAATAGAGCTGTATCCTACTTCTGCATAAATGATCAGTGGCACTCTTCAGTAGATGTGAACTCCTGCTGTCATGGTATATACTCTGACCCTCAAAGAGAAACACCATTTCCATAAGATCATTATTGTTCTTTTGATCACTGCTCTGCATGATATTGTCAAGTAAGAAATGTCCAAACCTGTCGAGAATTTTTATGAGTTTGAGCACAAAACAATGGGCAGGGTTTGTTTAAGGCAAAGATAAAATCTTTTACTAAAAATGTTATATACTTGGGGCATGACCATAACCTGCCCAGTTAGGAATTTATGATCAGATTACCCTACGAGGTTACTTTCCATAGAAATCTTTTTTCATCCACAGTACCAGGGCTCAAACTTGTGGCCTATGCTAGTCTTCCTGCCATACAGATCCATTATAAAATGATTCTACTATCAAAAAGGAAAAGGGGAGGGGGGGAAATTGCAGGGAAAGAGCATGGAAAAAAATACTCATTTGCCAGGGCAAATTAAAGGAAAAATAAAGGTATACAACTTAAAAAGGTAACTTGAAGCCATAATTATAGCAGACTTAAATCAATCCAGACAAATACTAAATGTGGTAGGCACTAGAAAGTCCTGAGTTTTTGATAAATGACAGAATCAGAGCTGGCAGCATATTACAATACAGACTGGAGAAGGGGAATGGCAGTGATAGAAGAAGGTAAAAGGCCACTGCACCAATCGTGGCAGCAACCTAAACTGGGTAACAGTAATAGGAATGAAAAAGGAGGCAGGAATGGACATAAGAGATAACAAAGGGGAGATGGTTTGGAGGTTAATTGTATTTGGTAGGGCAGGGACCCCACTGGAGAAGTACTAACATGACTTGGAGGTTTTAAGCCAGGTGCTTGGGAGAATGGTAGACAGAAGAAAAGACTAGGTTTGGGTTATAAAGGGAAGTTGAGAACAGGCAGAGAAAATGACCTTCAAAAGCAACACATAAGTTTGAAATGCCTAAGGTAATTGGAAAAGATCCTTTATAAGAGGAGTCAATCCCTATCTTCAAGGAATTTAAAATCTGTAATCTGGTTACAGCTGGAGATTCCCCCCCCCCCCCCCCCAAAATAGTGTCTCAATCATTTGCATTAAAGCACACAAACTTTAACTTGCCCTTCCTCTTTATTAAGTCATTCTAGTTAATCAATTAAGAAGAAATGTTAGAATTAAAGGCACAGTTAAATTATTGCCATTTGCAAACCACTAATAAAATAATGGAGCTAGGGCATTCTGTTAATACAACAGAATGAAGGGGATAACCAAACATCATATGCCACACCCTGTGATAGAAATACACACCACCACCTATGAATTATCTTTGCCCTCTCCCCCACCATCCCTTCTCTCAAGAAATCAAAGCTGAACTGATCTAAGCATGCTCAGTCTTCAATCTAGCTACCCATCTGCAGGAAATACAGGGGGTTGGAGGACATGCTAACCTAGGACATGTTAAAACTATACCAGAAGGACACGTTCAACAAAATCCAGAATGAGGGAAACTGCAGGAAAAATAACCTGGTTCCTTCAACAAATAAATTATGAGGAAAATAGAGAAAGGAGGAACCTTTACTAGTAGATTAAAAGACATACCAACCAAATGTAATGTGTGACCTTGTTTGTATCCCAAATAAAAAGAAACCAATTATTTAAAAACAATTTAGGAAAATTTGAACATCTCCTGTTTATTTGGTGATGCTAATTTTTAAAGGTGGGATAATGGTATTATGGTTATGATTTTTTAAATAGTCGTATCTTTTAGAGATATACTGAAATATTTGTAGATGACATAGGATTTGCTTTACAATAATCCAGTAGGCGTTGGGGGAGGGTTGAGTAGGTAGGAGTTTCATCCATACTCAGTTGTGCTTGAAATTTGCCATTATAAATTGTTCGGAAGGAAAAAATAAAAAACATCACTATCAATAACATCAACAAAAACAGAGGACAGGAATGGATTTGAGTTTTATTTCCAAGCCTTACAATCTGAGCAGCCCTGGGCTAGTCACACAACTTTTTTTTTTTTAGGTGGTGTTTGTTTTTTTTTATTGCTTAAAGTATTACAAAGGGTATTACATATGTGTCTTTTTTTTTTCCCCCGCCCTTGACAATCCCCTAGCCTCCCCTACCCCCCAGAGCACACAACTTCTTAATGTCCCTTTGGTTAAATGGAGACAAATACCACCTAATAAACTCATAAACTCCTATTTGTTCAAGCTAGAAACCTGAGAGATTTCTAATTTTTATTGATTTGAGAGCAAGGAAGGGAGAAAGAGAAACATCGATTTGCTATTTCACTTATTTATGCATTAATTGGTTGATTCTTATATGTGCCCTGACTGGGGATCGAAAACGTGATCTTGACATACCTGGACGATGCTCTAACCAACTAAGCTACCCAGCCAGGGCTGGGAGATTTAACTCCTGGTTTCACCAGTCTCCCACTTCCAGTCCACCACTGAATCCTGTCTGTTTCCTCTCTCTTCCATTCTTCCACTACCATCCAACTTACCTATCACTATGGTCTTACAACACTCCAACAGCCTCCCTCCAACCCATTCTCCACATTGTATAGAGTGATGTTCCAAAAATGCAAAGTCTGAGCATGCTGACTCCAGCCCCACTTAGAACCCCATAAACTGCTTTCGATTGGATTTAAGACCAGAGTGGCTTCTTAAAATACTTACAAGGCTTTCCACTATCTGTTAGTGTCTACTTATCCAACTTCCCATCTCACCCCATTCTCTCTGCTCCCTCTTTAGGTTTGGTAAAATTCTTTCAAGTTTTCCAGTGCACCCTGTACTCTGTAGCTCAGTACTTGTTTGGGAATGCTCTTTCCACCATCACTCTGTGGCCTACCTAGCTCTTGTTTATCCTTCAAGTCTCAGGCTAAATAGCATCTGCTCCAAAAGGTCTACTCAGATCGCTTCTAAAGTTGGGTGTCTTCTCACACCTACACAACACAATATTTTTTCCCATAGAAACCTGTACTTCCTCTGTCATAACAGTCAATAATTGTTTGTAAAGAGTACTTGTAATTATCTATCTATATATATAAAAAGCCAACGACCAGAACAACCAGTTGCTATGATGCCCACTGGGGCCAACAGGATCAGGGGCCAGCCAGCCAACCTCCTGTGTGGTCCCTCCCCCCCCCCCCCAGCCCCGCCCCTGGTCAGCCTCTCCCACCCCGATGGAGGGCGGGGCAGCTGGCCAACCCCCCTCCCCTCCGTAGCTCTTCCCCCCCAACGGGCCCCAACCGGGAGGACCCTAACCCCCCCCATCGTTCTTAAGGTCCTCCCCCTGGGTGGCCCCGCCCCTAATATTCTTCCCGTACCCCCAATGTTGGCCAAAGGGGGCTTGGGAGTCACATGCGGGTCTCTGGGCCTTTGGGTGGGTAAGTTCCAACAAAAAACAACTGCGGGCACAAATAAGGGGGAATTGGAACTGTGTGGGGAAAAAAAAGAAAACGAGTTTCC